ACCCATACGGGTCGCCTCCTCCACAATCAGCAAATCTGACATCAGTGCTGTCAGCCCTCAGCAGGTACCTGGGATGATGAGACCCACTATTTCCAAAAAAGTCACCAGGGCCAGTGAGTTTTTTCCCACCAAAGCCATGCAAGGCTGTCAACTCCCTTCCCTTTTGGTCCAGTCCCTACCAGTACCATGTCAATATGCTCCAAGTGGGCTTGGTTCTCCCTGAATTTTTTCCTCATGGGGAAAACCACAATATGTACACACTAACAGAGGTGTCCTACAGGTTATTAAAACAGACCTTCTTCTCCTATTCACTGGAAGAAAACACTATTTCAATTTATAGATATTTGGGGAGTAATAGAGAATACATTGATACATAGGCATTCTTCTGGAATTAAAATATCTACTCATACAACAGTAAGAGTTCTGTAAAAGGAATTAGAGAGTTACCTTGAAGTAGAAAATGAATCATAACTAAAATGATTAGTATGCCTACCCTTAACTTTGAAAACCAACAGAAGTTGCCATAAATTTTGGGATTCTGAAATATTTAAAGAACTTAGGAGTTGGGTTCTTATCTTTTCTGCAATACTACTGTGGTACTATTGTATACTGACTTACAAAAAAAAAATAAATCTGTTTTCAACCAGTGCCTTTTTAGCAGCCAAAAAATACCCATGAAAACCAATAAAACAATCAATGCAGACGTTAGAAGGAGGAGCACGTGACAGCATGACAGTCATGATGTGATCTGTACTACATTTAATCCCCATGGTTATGAAATTCTTGTGCTTGAAATAAATCTTCATTATACATTTTTCCATGCTTTAATGGAAAAGTAGTGGTCCATTACCAAAGCAAGGAATATTAGTAGGTGAGCTACAGCATGGCATATGGCGTTCCAGGGTAGATCGGTATTTTATTTGCTCTTGAAAGGATTTTTATCCTTTGTGTAATTCCCAGTCTGAGGTTTCTGAGTCATGATGAACTTCGCATGTGCTCAGTCTTCTTACATTACTATGCAATGGCATTTCTGAGAGTGGATGTAGTTCCTGTAATCAGCAAGCTGCTTCAGGTACAGATTTGAAGGCCATCTGTGCATCTCTACAAAATTGCGCTCCTCCACTAAACAAAGCAATAAAGGAATTAAATGTAATATCCAAACATACTGCACAAGTGCACAGGCTGCAAAAAGTCTATAAAATAGGTTGAAAACCATTAAGGACATAAACACAACTAGGACAGTAAAGAGGAGCGCTGTCCATCTTATGTAGAGCTTATAGGAGTACAGGCAGAAGAATTACTACACAGTGTTCCCTTGCTATTAAGTTGAAAATAAAATTGAAATAAAACCAATACTTGTTAAAGAGAACAGAGAGGCTATCCTACAGATCAATGTTCTTTATCTCTAGAAGATAACCAGATGTGGTAATCAGCTGCAAGGATTCTGTCTATGCTGCAACACTATCAAGGAGGGGCTCTCAGTCCCTATGGCAACAGTTCAAGAGCATTTCAAAAAGCAAGGTAAGGGGAGCAATTCAGAACTCAAGATTTTTTACTTGTGTTGCATGTGGTTTTTGTTGCTGACACAGTCATGCAATAGTCTTCAGATGTGTTGCTTGGATGAATCCCTTTGCCTTGCAGAAATATGCATTGTCATCCCCTGCTCCCTGATTTTCCTGAATCCTTTCAGGGATTCAGACCAAGCTGGACGGAGACCAAGGCTCAGCAGAAAAATCCTCAGTGTGGGAAGGGCTAAGGCCAGGGCAGCAGGCGGTGCCTTTCTGCCTACCTTGTGCCAAACACAGGGCTGTTCCTGGAGATTTCAGTGGTTGAAAGCCACTGGAAAGCTGCTGCTTTGGGCTGCATGGCTCTCCAAACCATGAGGTGATGTAGTGTCATGGTGTCCTCAGGAAGAAAGGCCAGCTGCCCATAACTATTGTTGTTGCAGAGATTGCTCTCCTCTGAATGTGTCAGAGGGTGTTTGTGCCCTGGCAAGCTGGAACAGAACGGTTTTGCCCACCCACCTATATTTAGTTATGTGCTTCTATTTCTTTTCTCAGGCCGTCTCACTACAAGTTCAACGCAACAGAACGTGTCAGCCCTTCAGTGAACCATGCAGAAAGGGACTCAGGGGAAGGAGAAAGACAAAGGAGAGGCTACCAGCCATATAGACACAGCTGGTGGAATATACCAGTGGTTGGAAGCAAAGAGGAAACCTCAGGTGATGACAGAGCAAACATTTGCTACGATGATACTGTACCCTGAGTTACTTGGGTGCTGTCAGAGCACACACTGACAAGTGCTTATGAGTGATCCTTATCAGAAACACCACTGCCTAACTTTCATGACACACTCATATGCAGCCTGATATCCACCAGGATTGCTGCAACATGGAGGCAGGAAAAAAAAAACAAACAAGGCAATATTGATAAATAGATATCCCACTGGGAAACTGGAAAATGGGTAAGTAAATGTGCCTAGATTGAGTCCTGCATGAACCTAAATCAGAAGGGTTTCTGTGCTCTCCTGCCTCACCAAGGGGAAGTCATCTACAATTCCCACCTTCACCAAATGATTGGGACAATCTGACTCCTGCAGCTTCAGGAGTGCCTCAGGGTGGCTGAGACAACACAGGCTTAATCCATGTTTAATCCAGATCTGGCTATACAAAATGGATGTTTCAGAAGATACATAGATGGGCCACTAGAAGACAAATTCCAGATCCAAACAGAACAAGGAGGGTCTAGCTCTCCCTCCTTCACTCCTAATGATTACAGAGTCGCCCATCATCACACATACATATATGAGCCTTGCAAATGAGGAAAGAGTTCTTCCAATGTACTTTGGACCAAACAAAGCTTCGGCTCATTGATAACAAAATCCCCAGCTGGAATACACTGGCCCCATACCAATGGTCTGAATACAAACCATGGATCAAAATAGAATCACCCATCAGGACCACCTTCACCAGGGTGCTGAAAATTCCCATAGACAATAAGCAAAACTTTCTAGAGTTACATATCAGGAAATGAATACAGAGTTTGGGAAATTAAATATCACTTCCCTGGAAGAACCTTGTTTATTTATTTAAATGGACATTAGTTATTTGATTTCATGGTATCTGCTGAAAAGTACTGTCAGAATCCTGTTTTCTTCAAAGAAAAGCCTAAAGCCCAGCCCTTGAAAAGCAGGTATTGGAAGTGACTTATTACCTTGATTCTAACTCACTAACTAAACAAAATTACATACATAAAGTAGAGGGATTGACACATAGTGACCAAAGTGTCCCAGTTGAATCAGTTATGGGTAGGAACCTTACCATCAGTGCAGGAATAAAAAATACAAGGGGATGTGGTTGCTACACATTCTGATCTTCATGTACCACATGCTGGTACACATCCAGCTCACACAGATTCTGGCCTATAGAAGTCCTAATTGTCTTCTCATGTGGATGTAGTATTGTTCAGTACCTTGCTTCTAATCTAAGCAGAACTGAAAAGCATTTCTTGTTTTAAAAGTAATAGGTAAATTACCTGAAAGATCTTGAAATTCAGGCTTTTGACTGAAGATGAGGTAGTTAGTGGCAATAAAATGAAGAAGCCAAGTTGAAAGGCAATCAGAATTGTGAAACTGCAAGAAGAAAGAAAACAAACAGCAGTTTACTAAATAAAGTTTTGACTGTAGGAGATAACAGAGCAAAAGTCATTGACATAAATGTGTAAACAGATGGAGACTCAAGATCAAACAATAATACTTCCCCCACCCCACCCCAGTGGTGTGATCTAACTCCCGGGGTTCTTTTGGACATGAATCTTAGAAATTTTTGTCACAGAACAGCTTCAGAAAAAGGAAGGTAAGGAGTGCAGCATGTCAATTTTGTGGTTGTCTCTTCCACCACAAAATCCTGTTCATTTAAGACAACATCCTGCTTAAGACTTGTAAATGATTCATCTTTTTATTTTCCTCTTCTGTTTTCCAAGTCTGGCTTTACTGTCTCTCTCTTTTTTCAGCCTTCAGTCTTGTCTTTTCATGCTTTTCATTGTTTCCACTCAATATTCTATCAGGTTGGATCTTCTCTGCCACTTGCACGACTAAAAAGAGAAGTAGTGCATATTCACTGGCCCAAAATAAATCTTTTCTGGCAGAAGTTGGAGTTAAGATGAATTACTGCAATGTATCCCTGATGAAGGAAATTGCACAGATTGTGTTACGACTGCACATTGTGCAATCAGAGACTGAAGGCCTTGTGCCACAGATAATCCTGATCAACAGACTGTGTATTAGTGTTTGTCCTTGGGAAGAGAAAGTATTAAGATCTTTAAAAATCTTAACAATTAAACAACCCCCATTAATTAGGGTTAAGATATATGTTCTCATGTGATCCATGAAACACATACCTTAGCTTTTTTGAGCAAGCTAACAATGCTGAGGCTTGTGGATGCCAGCTCCCTGCTAGGCATGCTCTGAAGCTGTGTGATAATGTAAAGCTCACAAATATGCTGGAGTCTCATTACTTGGTACATCTCTGCACAGATCAAGAGAGACATAGCTTGGAGAATACTAGCTGAAAAACAAGAAAACACAAGTTATATCTATTTTACCTTTTTGACAATAAGATCAAAGGCAGTTTTCACCGAGTCATCTTTCAAACACCTAACAATGAACATAAAATCAAACTGCTGTTGATCACCTTATTTTATTTTTCATTATTACTAAGTTTGCTATACCACTCTCTTTTTCCTGTTTAATCAACAGGAAAAGAGTACTTTAGTTAGTACTTCTTACTTGTCAATACCCTGTGTCTTGAAGAAGCTAATCAAGGGCTGTTAGTGTATTTAAAGTAAGTGATGATTAATAATAGGAATTAGCTTTCTAATATCTCTCTCAAAAAAGAAGATTCATGATACACGTACAAGAAAATATAGCAAAAAAAGGCCCAAAAGAAAATGAACCAACCATATATCTAAAAAAAAAAATAAAGATCTGTTACAGTTAATTAATTATTTTAAATATGGTACAGTGGTTGCACATTTAAACTGATGAACAGGGAAATGGCAGATGGACTGAAAAGGGAATAAGAGAAAACCTAATAATAAGGTAGAATTATTTGAAAAGAAAACAAAAGCAAAAATGCATATCACAACATTATTCACTCACTATCCCAAAGGAAAATGATCTGTATTTACATAATATTCCATATTTAGTATGTAATTTTCTTCTTATTATAAAAGACTATGGCTAAGATACAAGGAATACTTCAGCTCAATTTTTCTTACTGAATACTCCAAATGACATACTTTCTTGAGGATTTACACACAAATAAGGTATCCATATGTATAAATAAGGTGTTCTTGCACTTTAACCTTGATTATATTAAATGTAACAAAATATATCCTAAACAAAATGAAAATTTTGGGATGAACCCAAGAATTGTGATTCAAAAGCAATATTACTGTGATGTAGAAAGAAAATTTTTGATATTGTAATGGACCAGAAATGAAATTTCACTGATTTTTGTGTCTTGCTGTGTAAGCACATAACAAACACAACATTTTATTAGTGATATCTGTTCTGTCTGCAGCTGATTTTACTTGAATAAGACTGTTTTTTTCATTGCATAATATGAAAATTTCTTTTTCTTGAGACATTATACATTAAATCTTTCACATTTTTCAATAATGTAAATGCTGCTACATTACTCTCTATCAGTGCCTCACTGTGGAAAAATGAGTAAAAACGTGTAATTTTGACTTTTCTTACCTGGACAGCAGGAGTCGGTATAAAGATACTCTAGAAAGGAGAGGAAAGTGTCTTTGGAAACCCCATACACTGGAACCAGAATACTATTTGCTTCTAGATAATTACCATTAAACATAGCTGCCATTACCTCACAGCGAGCTACCAGAACTGCTCTGTGGGCTGGTACAGTTGCATCTGCAGGACACAAGATAAAAATCTATGATGATTTTATATACACAGAATGATCATGACTTTAAAGCTCTGATTTTCTTAGAAGGCCTTCACTTCACTGAATATGATTAAAGTGTTTAAAATTAACAATATCGAACAAATAACTAATAACATACTCACTTTATACCAGTTAAGAGTTTACATCTTTCTCATAGCCAGCAAAAAAAGGAAAGAGAAATACTAAATTTATTACGACAACCTGCTCCAAACACCAAGTTCTCCAAATCTGGCAAACTTTTATCAGTCAGAAATAGGCTTTCAAGTAGCAAAAAATCAGATGCCACTGTACTTAACACCAGTTTACAGAAATTGAACCTATGGCCCACTGCATAAATATGCAAATGAGTAATCTGCATTCCTCAGCAATCCTACTGGTAACAAATGCATGCTCCAGAAGTCAAACTCACATAGCCATACAAAGCAGAGAAAGGCAAATTATCCCAGATGAAACTCCTTTAAATCTACTAAGTATGACTTTAACCAGATTAAGTATTTTGCCTAAGTGAATTTCCTGAAGGCTGTCTTACAAAAATAATGCCAATAATTTCTTCTAGAAATGTTTCAATTTTTTAATATGTGTGCGTGACTAATTTACTTTATCATTTACTTTACATTTACAACATCTAGAACACCTCTAAGGTTAACAGCCTTGGTAGCAGAGGTCTTACAGGCTCTTAATGAAAATATTGACAGCCTGAGCTGCCAGCACTGACCTCAGACCTCTGCAGAGCCCAGATAAACTCAATGGCCCTGTGCACAAGAAAGGGCCAAACAGGATAGTAGCCAAAGACAGTACAAGAGTTTACAGCTGGATGTAAATGATTTAATCAAAATTAAAATAAATAGATCAATTGACATGCAAGATAAATATACTGGAAATACTTACATAGAAGTTACTGTCTTCATTTCCTCCTCAACCACAACCCTGCCACCTACCTATTTCTTTTAAAACATGTCATTTTTTAATTTTTGTACTATTTCTGTTCACCTGTGATTCTGCTTCCAAAATGTGGCATACGAAATTTATGTATTTCCATATAGACAGAACATGTCAATGGTATATATTCACACATGTAACATGAGCATTACACAATGAAGATATGATTTAAGTTATGCATGCAGCTGTGTATGTGCATGCAATTGGATAGTTACCTACTAATTAGGAGGTTCAATCACATTATGAATCTTTACACAGACAACATGGGCTCCCATTTTCAATGGCTCCCAAGTACTTCTGTAAACTAGAAAGCTCAAAGCAACCCCAAATATTCAAGGAATTAGTTGAAGAATTAAAAATATTTGCCAAATCAAATATATTTTTTGATATATAAAAGCCTAAGAATTTAGCCTTCTAAAGCCTTCAGTTTCTCTTCATAATTATTTAATTTTAATACAATTATTGTGGCTGATTAATTAGAGAAAAAGGCTTGGAAGACTTTTATCAAACATTAAGAACATCAGTTCACATTTTAGAAGTGGATAAGCACATTTTTTTTTAACTACTTGTCAACCCAGGGCAGGGTTGGGTTTTTTTTTCTGCAAAATACATAGTGGTGGTATGGTTTAATCAACTTCCCACAAAGCCTTTCTCAGGAATGGGACACTGAGATGATTTTTGATGTCATTAAACTCAACATCAGTATTTTATTCTCATTTTCAAAGATCATTTTCGGGTTTTCTGCATATTAAACAGAGTATCTAGAAAGAATCTGCTTGTCCTCATGTGCCTATGCTTGAAGGACTAAGGCTTCATATTTGGCTCTGAGATCCAATTCCAGAAAAATGTCAGCCATGACACTGCAGCAAATTGGTTTTGCTGGCAAAATGGGAAAATAAAATGGTTTCATTAGCATGCCTCCTGCCTGTGCCTTTGCCAAGGAGCACTTGGCATCTTTGTGAGCAGAACTATGGAACACCACCACCAAGCTTTGTAGTTTAATAGTCTCTTACAGACGAGTCAGCAGGGAAAGCCAGTCTCTGCTCCCTACACCTTTTTAATCCTGGCCACAAGGAGGATTAGGTAATTAATTACCATCACCCCAAGACAAAACAACAAAACCCCAATAATTTAGATGTTTTTCACACTTGTAGGGTTAAGCAACAGGCAGGTCTAGCCTAGGCCCCTGCAAGACTGAAGGCTGCTTTCAGAAGGAATCACCTACCCTACAGAAGTTGACTGCGACAGAAGCACAAAGATTGGTACGGGAGCATCTAGAAGGGTAGTAAAACACAGCAGGTGTTGATGGCACCTAGATTAGTAGGTCATCAAAATCCCAGAACATTTAGGTGCAGTTCTAGGGGTGCCTACTTTGGGGAAAGATGGGGTGTGAGTAAAGTCTAAGAAAGCACAGGAGGGGGATATAAGTCCCTGTCAGCTTCTAGAATGTACAAAAAGGCATGCCCACAGCCAGCACCAGCCTGAGACAGGCAGAGGGAAGGTGGTCAAGAATCAATAACCAGCTTCTGCAGTCTTTTCACAGAGGGCAACTAGTGTAGACGCAGCCACTGGAGTCCATAACTCTTCAAGGTTTGATGCTCGGCAGAAGGCTCAGGGTAGACCTTATTGCCATGTTCCAGTATTTAAACGGTGGCTACAAAGAAGGTGGAGACTCCCTTTTTACAAGAAGTCTCATAGAAGAGATGAGGTGTAATGGGCACAAGTTACTCCTGAGGAGATTCTAACTGGACACAAGAGGAGAATTTTTCACAATGACAACAACTAGCCACTGGAATAATCTCCCCGGGGAAGTTGCGGATTTCCCAATATTGGATGCTGTGGAGATTCGGCTGGACATCTAGTCTAGGTCATGCTTTGACAAAAAAAGGTTGGAACAGAGGATCTTTGAGGTCCCTTCCAACCTGGAATTCCAGAATTCTGTGATATCTCCTAGTGCTTGCACAGGTAGGAACGTGAGATAAGTAACTTAAAATCAGCATCGCCTATGATGCAATCCCTGGTGTAGCCTTGTTACCTTGGTGCTATGTCATTGCAGGAGTCTTTCCTGAGACACATCCTTCATTTTGCTAAGCCTCCAAGGGATGCATGCCAATCAGAGAGGCACAAAGTCTACCATGTCAAGCAAAGGGCATTGGTACAGGCGCAGCAGTGACAAACCACACTGAGAGTGAAGACTACTGCAAAGCATCCATAGGGCAAGCGTTAATTCTAAGCAGAAGCTGCTCTCCACAGTGACAGCAAAGCAGATACACATTTCCTTAGTTCTTGTGCTACAGAAAATAGACACCTCTCTTTCCCGCTCTCCTGCAGTAATATAAATGCTGAAGGTGCAATGGAGCCAATGCCACCAGGAGTAGAGGTACCATACCTTGTATTTTGAAAATGACATCAGCTAGGACAGGTGTATTAAAGAACAGCCTGAGAGACGTATTATACAGCCGTTTCATCTGTTGAGATTTGCAATCTTTTGTAGTGTTTAACTGCAAAATAAATTATTAATAAAACACTGTCATGTATAATTGTCCACAGAATAAAAGGTTACAAGATATCATTTATATGGGAAAACTAAATAACAACCTTTTGCTTTCTGCTTTATGTTCTTTTGCTAATGCTACTCAGCCATGCCCATGACATGTACATTCCTTTGCAGTCATGGTTTATTTTCCTTTGTCCCACAGTGCAGCAGCTCCAAGGCATCCCTGTCTCTTACAGTCACACTCCACCTCTCACCTTGGCACTGTATGACCTCCCCCACACAGCACCTGTGGGCAGAGGTTTTTCTTACTTTGAAAATGGAATCTAAAGCTACCAAAAGAACATTGAAATCATACTGCTAGATTATGGTAAGTGAAATTCAGATGAGGTTGAATTTATGGTTAGAGTCTTACCTGATTTATTAATTAATTTTTAATCTTATCAAGAAAAATCACAATTTATTTATTTGCCTCTGAACAAAAAGTTTTAAGTGTAAATAAAAGTGCCCCAAAGGCATACAGCCTCCCACCCAATCCCTAAAGATAACAACAACAACTCAGGCTTATGATCTTAAAAAGTTTTCAGGACTTTATATGTCCAACCTTACAAGGTTTTTAGCCGTGGACACTCAGGACTGGAAGGCTACAATCAAATAATCAGAAGCTTAAAACAGCTAAGTAACTTTCTGAGCTTCCTACTAGCTTATCTCAAGACAGTCTGAGATGATTTCTATTTTAAACTGACAGAAATACATTGTGCAAGTTCTACAGTAACAGGGAATGTATAAGCTCAACCAACAAATTGCTGTTAAAAGTAACTCTGTATTGTAATTTTTTATTAACATCAGAAAGTAACATAAATTGCACTATACTGTGAAATCATCTGCTGAATTAAATACATTGAGTTATAAACAGCTTTACACATAACAATATTTGTAAGGGAAACCAGTTCTCCTGACCTACTGCAGAAGCACAACTTTTGGCACATATTCAGGAAAGCAAAGCTTTCCTGGGCAGCCTCTATTACATGAGAATTAACTCACATAATCATGTTGTTAGACAATGTGTAAAGCTAAATATGAGTAATCCTTTTAGGATACCTATTTGTGTGCTTTTTACTGATTACATTAATTCAACTCTTGGTTGATATTCAAGGATCACCTGCTACAAGCTCAGGAGTGTTGCATCCCAACCAGAAGGAAGTGCAGCAGGAGGGCCAGGAGACCTCCTTGGGTGGATAAGGAGCTCCTGAGGAAAATTGAATTTGAAAAAGAGGCTTATAATAAGTGGAAGCAAGGACAGGTGGCATGGGAAGAGTACAGGGATGTTGCCTGAGAAGCTAGGGACCAGGTTAGGAAAGCTAAGGCTCAATTAGAATTAAACTTAGCTAGAGGTATTAAAGATAACAGGAAGGGATTCTACAGGTACATAGCAAATAAAAAGCAGACTAGGGAGAATGTAGACCCCCTCAGGAAGCTCTCAGGAGAACTGGCTACACAGGATTTGGAGAAGGCTGAGGTTCTGAATGACTTCTTTGACTCGGTCTTCACTGGCAAAGGCTCTGACCAAACCACCCAAGTCTTGGAAGGCAGACGGATGCAGGGACTGTGAGACTGAAGACCTGCGCCCACTGTAGGAGAGGAACTGGTTCGAGACCATCTTAAAAACATGAACCTGCACAAGTCCATGGGTCCTGATGAGATCCATCCGCGGGTCCTGAAGGAGCTGGGAAATGAACTTGCGAAGCCGATGGCCATCAGATTTGAGAAATCATGGCAGTCAGGTGAAGTTCCCGATGACTGGAAAAAGGGAAATATAACCCCCATTGTCAAGAAGGGGAAAATGGATGACCCAGGGAATTACAGACCAGTCAGTCTCACCTCTGTGCCTGGCAAAATCTTGGAGCAGATTCTCCTGGAAGGCATGCTAAGGCACATGAAAATCAACAAGGTGCTTGGTGACAGCCAGCATGGCTTCACTAAGGGGAAATCCTGCCTGACCAATTTGGTGGCCTTCTATGATGGGGTGATGGGGCTAGAGAACTGATGGACAGGGGTAGAGCAGTTGATGTCATCTACCTGGACTTGTGCAAAGCGTTCGACACTGTCCCACACGACATCCTTGTCTCTAAATTGGAGAGACATCAATTTGATGGATGGACCACTCGGTGGATAAAGAACTGGCAGGATGGCCGCACACAAAGGGTTGTGGTCAATGGCTCAATGTCCGGCTGGAGACCAGTAACAAGTGGTATCCCTCAGGGATCGGTGTTAGGACCGGTCTTGTTTAACATCTTCATCGCTGACATGGACAGTGGGATTGAGTGCACCCTCAGCAAGTCTGCCAATGACACCAAGCTGTGTGGTTCGGTTGATATGCTGGAGGGAAGGAATGCCATCCAGAGGGACCTCGATACACTTGTGAGGTGGGCTGATGCCAACCTCATGAAGTTTAACCATGCCAAGTGCAAGGTCCTACACCTGGGTGGGAGCAATCCCAGGCACAGCTACAGGTTGGGCAGAGAAGAGATTCAGAGCAGCCCTGCGGAGAAGGATTTGGGGGTGCTGGTCAGTGAGAAAATGAACATGGGCCGACAGTGTGCGCTTGCAGCCCAGAAAGCCAACCGTATCCTGGGCTGCATCAAAAGGAGCGTGACCAGCAGGTCGAAGGAGGTGATCCTGCCCCTCTACTCTGCTCTTGTGAGACCTCACCTGGAGTATTGTGTGCAGTTCTGGTGTCCTCAACATAAAACGGACATGGAACTGTTGGAACAAGTCCAGAGAAGGGCCACGAGGATGGTCAGGGGACTGGAGCACCTCCTGTATGAAGACAGGCTGAGAAAGTTGGGGCTGTTCAGCCTGGAGAAGAGAAGGCTGCGTGGGGACCTCATAGCAGCCTTCCAGTATCTGAAGGGGGCCTACAGGGATGCTGGAGAGGGACTCTTCATTAGAGACTGTAGTGATAGGACAAGGGGTAACGGGTTAAAACTTAAACAGGGGAAGTGTAGATTGGATGTAAGAAGGAAATTCTTTCCTTTTAGGGTGGTGAGGCACTGGAATGGGTTGCCCAGGGAGGCTGTGAATGCTCCATCCCTGGCAGTGTTCAAGGCCAGGTTGGACGAGGCCTTGGGTGATATGACTTAGCGTAAGGTGTCCCTGCCCACGGCAGGGGGATTGGAACTAGATGATCTTAAGGTTCTTTCCAATCCTAACTATTCTATGATTCTATGATTCTATGTACATGACATCAGCATCCTTGTACTTCTATTTTGCACATGCCTCTCAACGACCCACAATGTTATAAAAGCTGCATAAGCTGAAGTAAGTTTAAAAGAAAGACTGGGAAGAAAAACTTACCTACAAAACAATTTCCCAAGAACTTAAGTGTAACTAATACTAACAGTTACCCCAAGACAGTTAGATGTACCTTCCTTGGGGTTTTCAGGATGCATTTAACTTTGCCAAGCACATTTTCAGTTTTTTCTGGATCCTTCACCTTTTTTTTTATATCCTCTTCTAGTCGTTCCCACTGGAAAGCACCTGTCACAAGACCAAATAGAGTTGGAATATAAATTAACAAGGCACAGGCCTTAGCAGGCAGAAAAAAAATTATATCAATGACAAACAGGTCCTGCAGAAACTATATTTTTTTGCACTTAAATCAGCTGGATTTTTGTACTTAGAAAGGGCCAGATGATTCTTGCACAATAAAACTTCAATGGTGTTTTTGACTAAAATGCAATCAAGTACAGACAAGGGCATCTCCCTTGCTTTCAAATTCTAATTCCGAATTCCTCCCAGTTCAATCTCTACACAATGCAGGTAGGCATTCAGGAAATAAAAACAGCAACAACAACACACTGCTTTGCAGGTGACCAAACCAGAAAAACTTCATGCAGTTATAGTATGAGTACCAGTAGCTAAAAACAGCACAAAGTTTGCTTTCAGAGTCAAAGCCATGATATGCCCTTAGGTATCTCAATATTAAAAATCTTCTAGGTGTTCTTCTAATTTTTTTTTTAAATACTTATTCTTTAAGGTCCTTTCCAACCCAAAACATTCTATGATCCTAATACATTTCTTGGAAAAATGAGAAGTACTGACTAGGGTTAAAGCAAGTGATTTATCCTTACACACTTTGCTGGAGAAAGTCTGAAAGGTGCCATGGGGCATTCTGATAACTTTCAGCTCTGATCCCCAGGGCCATGCAGCAAGGAAGAATCAGAGACAGATAAAGCTCAGGGTAAAGCACAAGACAGCAGAGCCTTGAAGGCATTCTGCTGCAGAAAAGTCTGAAAGAGCATATACAGCATATGGCATCTGTAGCCCCATCAGCTCCTATATACACCAGATGGATGGCAAGTTTTCATGACCTCATGGTTAAGTCATGGTACTGAAAAGATGAAAACACTTTGTCATGTCTGATCTCTTCTCAACCCTCAACTCAGGTGTCTTTGAGAAACCTCGTCGCCTCTCAAAAGCACCAAAAAGTGCAATGACTTTTGGCAACACCTTTCAGTTTGGGAGCTGTAGCTTACAGCACAGCTTCACCTATGACTGTACAAAATATCCTATACCATTAATTGACATAAACAGAAGTAAAAAGTAAAATTAATGCACAAAAGGCAGCAGACACAAGTTGTAAATGGTAACAGATGAAGATACCACACTTAGATCTATCACTTGCTGAAATTTCAGGTTAAATTCCCTATTTATGTCATCAATCAATCAACCAATCAATCAATCAATCAATCAATCAATATTAAAATAAATAAAAAAATAAATCCATGCTGAAAAAATTCTGCTTATGTTCTTTATATTTGATACCGGTTTGGAAAGAACTGAAAGGGGTGTTTTCAATGTGCAAACTCTAATTGAAAACTGAAGGTGTCCCTTGTGTCTTCACAAGCCAGTGCTCATGTCTCAGCTACTAAGGCAGAAATACTTTCCATATGTCAGGCAGGTATCAGTATAGAGATATTGACTAAACTTTTTTATAGATGAATGTCTAACATGATAATTATTTGTACTTTATTTAATTCAAGTTAAATACAGAATGCTTCATTAAAAACCACACTAATTCTTTCAACAATTATAAAATAAATATTCTTATGTAGTGACTACTTGAAAAATATTTTATAAAGAACAAAACAGTATCAGGTTCTTCCAGAAGGAAAACAGTAATTCTCTTTCACCTGGGGATTCCTAAGCTACATAGCTAGAAAACTGTCAGTGCCATCTTAATAGCTAGCTGGCATGAGGTAGGTCAGGGCAATGACTGTACTGAGCTGGTAACAAAAACTCATGGAATGTATTGGAGCTTCATAACCTGCACTTCAACCAGTTATCAGAGATAATAACTATATAATCAGAAATAATAGCTAGACCAGGTTGCTCCAAGCCCTGTCCAACCTGGCCTTGAACACTGCCAGAGATAAGACAGCCACTGTTCCAGAGGTTTTTTATCACTGCTTTCTCTTCAGGAGCACTGTAGCCAGAAAAGAAATCACTTGAGTTTAAATATCCCTGCATTCTCATCACTGTGTTTAAAACATGCAAACATTTTAAGTATTTTAAAAGCCTGGGATCGAAATTTTCTCAAGCTCCAGATTTTTTTGCCAAAGCTTTTGAATATTACTGATGTTATCTTATGGACTTTGTTCAGTAAATACTGTGCTTAAGTTATCTTCATTAGATCTGGAATGAAAGATAATATATTTTTTTATTAAATTAATAAAAATAATAAATAAAATTATAAATAAAATTGCATTTGTAATTATTATTGTATATATGTATATATACATATATATGTATAAAATGTATATTATAGAATATATTTTTATAATTTTTTTTCATGCAGACCTTGTTTGTAATAATCACAAGGTTGGATTAATGGATACAGCATCAATGAAGAACATCATCTTCCAACAGCAAAGGCATATTCCTTAGAGTGATACAGATACTCCTTCACAAGATATCAGCCGCATGAGAAACAAGTAGCCAGACCCATTCCCAGTGAGTACCTGAATAGATGAAGTGGAGGATGTCTGGGAGACATGAGCAGAAGGCAGAGTCCTTCACCACCACCCTCAGCAGTGGGATGCAGGGTGGGATGCCGCGGGGCGCCAGCCGGAAGGCAGCCTCTGCTTCCACCGTGAAGAGGCTCTGCGCTGTCTGCATGATGGAGGTGTCACAGATGTCTGCAGGGCTCTTCACCTTGAAAAGCAGCATGAAGAGGTGGCTGACGGAGCAGAGGATGACCTTGTGAGCCTCTACCACTGTGCTGAAGTCCTCAGGGTAGAACGCCACATCTGCGCACTGGCAGCAGCAGAGCAGGTTGTGCAGGTCCGCATCATAGTGCGAGGCTTCACCCTTCAAGATCGGCATTTTTTCTGCTTAAGATAAAGAGTAAGGCTGTAGAATTGAGGGAAATATTAACCACAGGATGACTCTATTTCCAGAGACCTGATCAAATGAAGGATAATTTTTGAAAGAAGTACTGGATAAGAAAATTTCTTATATGCTACTTGAGTCTCTCTAGTAAAATACGCTAAAATTTAAAATACCTAGCATAGTAAAACAAGAAATACAAGAAATACTTAGTTTTGTGTCTCGCCTTTTACAAAACCTCTTTAGGCACTTATGTTTGAAAGAAACATTTGCCCATGAATCACAAACCTAAGGGATCTGAGCTTATTTCTAGAATATGTGAGAAGAGACAACTATGTGTTTAGAGGTGACCACTTTCCAGTAATTATTTCACTGAATAAATGCATCAGATGCTCAGAAATCAAGCTTAGGAAACCATGTGCAGAAGCATACACTTCTCCCTTGCTTTTTTCACAGCAAATAAAATATTACTTGATGATATTGTAGAATAATAAAGAAAAATAAAAAAGAATAATAATAAATGATATAATGACTTTATCTTTTTTTCTGTAAAGCTTTTATGTAAAGATTTTAATATTCACCTTTGCATTATTTCATCAAATGCACCAGAAAACTACCCCTATGTTCTGGGTTCAGCAGTAGCAGTCATGTTTCTCCTTCTTGGTAGCTGGTGCAGTGCAGTGTTTTGACTTTCAGCCTGGGAACAGAGCTGATAATAATGATGTTTTGGTTTGGCCAAGGACTTTGTGAGCCTCATGCTCTGCCAGGGAGGAGGGGAAGCCAGGAGGAAGCAGAGACAGGACACCTGACCCAAACTGACCAAAGAGGTATTCCATACCACAGCACGTCATGCCCAGGAGGTAACTGGGAGTTAGCCGGAAGGGCTGGGAGACGGCAGGGTTGGAGGAGGTATCGGTCAGAGCTTGGTCGGGCTTGGGGGGGCGAGTTATCGGTTGGCTGGTGCTGAGGTGTTGTATTCTCTTCCCTTGTTATTTCCTTTACCATTGTTATTATTGGTGGTAGCAGTAGTGATTTGTGTTATACCTTAGTTACTAAACTGTTTTTATCTCAACCCGTGGGAGTTGCATTCTTTTTGATTCTCCTCTCCGTCCCTCTGGGAGCAGGGGGAGGGCAAGAAGGGGGGGAGTGAGTGAACGAGTTACCTGAATGGGTTTAAACCACAACACCCTATTATTTTAATCTAAAAGAAATTCCAAGTCCATTGCAATCTTACATACTGTTATACAATTCTCCCCAAGTTAATTAAACCATCAGTAAAGGTTGATGCAACTATAGCAACATAACTAGAATAGCTGATGATAGATAGCACAGCTCACAGTATAATGAATACAAGATGTTAATTGTGCAAAGAACATGACACACATAACAAATGATATTAGACCAGACATCAGCAAGCACCTGGCTGTTCAAGCTGAGGTGGTTGAACTCGATGACACTTCTGCGTCTTTTTCCTTCTCTTCATTTTTTCAGGTGACTTCTGATTCAAACTTTGGATCATAAAATATTCCAGCTAAAATATGAAATGTATTTTAAAAAATATCCTAGTTATTTAAGAGCAAGCTAGACATCAAACTAAGGAGAATGAGTGGGTATTGCATGCAGGACTGAAGCTACTGCCATTATGAACAGTCACCCAGAAGAGTCCCAATACTCCTTTACCAGGAGAAGGCACCACATGGGTGCGGAACTAGCACAATTTAAAACACTATTTATTCAAATTATGTTGGTTAATTCTCTTGTATTTAGTCTTCCCAGAAAAGACAGGCACAAAGATACTCAATTTATGAACTTCCATAGATGCTAACTACAGAATTACACAAAAGAATAAGACTTGACAAAAGATGATCAGGTGCAAGAGATGGAAATAACAAAACCATATACAAGTTCTTCAGATTGCAACTAACAGCCACAACCATGCAATGCTACTGTGTCCTCTGAAAAAGTTACATTACAACAGGATCTTTGTGGGCAACGGGCTTTATAACTGCAACAAAAAGGTATTTGAGGGGAAACGATCCCTTTTACTGGAACAAAGAGGCACAAAGGGTGAGTCAGGTCAAGTTAATCATAGAACCATAGAATAGTTAGGGTTGGAAAGGACCTTAAGATCATCTACTTCCAAACCCCCTGCCATAGGTGGGGACACCTCCCACTAAACCATGTCACCCAAGGCTCTGATCAACCTGGTCTTGAACACTGCCAGGAACAGAGCATTCACAACTTAATGCATGTTTCAAATGCTTTTAGCACCCAAGCTATTACTGTAGCACATATAGTGCTTTCTAAAACCTTGAAAATTACTCTGGCCAGACCAGATGCTGAATGCATTTCTCGTTTTTTTAATTGGGAATGAATGGATCCAATAAAAATGGGCTACTGTTGTGCCAGATATTCCAAGTTATGATTGAATCCCATGGAAAATACATCATATGCATATACCAGCACAGAGTCTAGTCTTTACTGTTGTGAAAACCATGTGAAATTACCATGCCAAGAAACCTGCATTTTTGTGTCCAAATCCAAATGGTTAAAAAATTAGGTTGAGCTTAAAACACTTCACAAAACCGAAAATTAAGTCTCAGTGTGAAAAAATTTTGTGAAGGCAAACAAATCTGAAAGACTGTATTCAGAACTGCTCAGTGGGCTTTCCTGCCTTCGGAGTGGAAGAAGAACAAGAAGCTCATTAGAGGTGGGACATTTTAAGAAGCCACTTGGCTTCTGCCTCACTCAGCTTTGCTGCAGCTGACCGCAGGCTCTGCTCAGGATTGCAGACTGAGTAATGACTGTGAATTGAGCAACCACAAGAATACACTAGAAATGAGGCAATTAAACAGTCTTGCTGGTCTCACTTCAAAATAGAACAGTTGTGAGAGTTTAAGCAATTAAAATTAAAAAAAAAAACCAGAATATTATGGAATAAATAAGGTTGGAAAGGGCCTGTGGAGGTCACGCACTCAACACAGAACTTGTCTTCAAAGTGGTATAGCGTTTTCGAGTGCCTTGTCCAGTTGGGTTTTCCATTATCCCATCCAGCAAGACAAAAGGACAGGAACAGAAAATTACTGCAGTGTGTATTATAAGTTTCCTAAATCTTTCTAGAAGGTAGTTAAAACCAGAGCAAGCTCTGTACTGCCAGTTCAGATAGAACCATGGAATGGTTTGTGTTGGAAGGGACCTTAAAGCTCACACAGTTCCAACGCACTACCACGGGGCAGGGACACTCTCCACTAGACCAGGTTGCTCCAAGCCCTGGCCAACTTGACCTTGAACACTGCCAGGGATGGGGCAGCCACAGCTTCTCTGGGCAACCTGTGCCAGGGCCTCAGCACCCTCACAGGGAAGAACTTCTTCCTTAAATTTAACCTAAATCTCACATCAGTGGGAACTTGACCTCAGTGGGAAGGCTTGTGGTGTGCCTCCACTTCACAGTATCACAGTATCACAGTATGCTAGAGATTGGAAGGGACCTCGAAAGATCATCTAGTCCAATCCCCCTGCCGGAGCAGGAGCACCTAGATAATGTTACACAGGAATGTGTCCAGGCGGGTTTTGAATGTCTCCAGGGAAGGAGACTCCACAACCTCCCTGGGCAGCCTGTTCCAGTGTTCTGTCACCCTCACTGAGAAGAAGTTTCTTCTCAAGTTTAAGTGGAACCTCTTGTGTTCCAGTTTGTACCCATTACCCCTTGTCCTATCATTGTTTGCCACTGAGTAGAGCCTGGCTCCATCCTCGTGCCACTCCCCCTTTATATATTTATAGACACTTATAAGGTCACCCCTCAGTCTCCTCTTCTCCAAACTATAGAGACCCAGCTCCCTCAGTCTTTCCTCATAAGGGAGATGCTCCACTCCCTTAATCATCTTTGTTGCCCTGCGCTGGACTCTCTCCAGCAGCTCCCTGTCCTTCTTGAACTGAGGGGCCCAGAACTGGACACAATATTCCAGATGGGGTCTCACCAGGGCAGAGTAGAGGGGAAGGAGGACCTCTCTCGACCTACTAACCACCCCCCTTCTAATACACCCCAGGATGACATTGGCCTTCTTGGCCACAAGGGCACAGTGTTGGCTCATGGTCATCCTGTCGTCCACTAGGACCCCCAGGTCCCTCTCCCCTACACTGCTCTCTAACAGGTCGTTTCCCAACCTATACTGGAACCTGGGGTTGTTCCTGCCCAGATGCAGGACTCTACACTTTCCCTTGTTATAGTTCATCAAGTTATTCCCTGACCAACTCTCCAGCTTGTCCAGGTCTCGCTGGATGGCAGCACAGCCTTCTGGCGTGTCAGCCACTCCTCCCAGCTTAGTGTCATCAGCAAACTTGCTGATAGTACACTCAATTCCCTCATCTAAATCATTGATGAATATATTAAATAGTACCGGTCCCAGTACTGACCCTTGAGGCACTCCACTAGTTACAGGCCTCCAACTAGACTCTGCCCCATAGACTACAACTCTCTGGCTTCTCTCCTTCAGCCAGTTCGCAGTCCACCTCACTACCTGATCATCCAGACCACACTTCCTCAATTTAGCTGTGAGGATGCTGTGGGAGACTGTGTCAAATGCTTTGCTGAAGTCAAGGTAGACCACATCCACCGCTCTGCCATCATCCATCCACCGTGTTATTTCCTCATAAAAGGCTAAGAGATTGGTCAAACATGATTTCCCCCTGGTGAAGCCATGCTGACTGCCCCTCATAACCCTCTTATCCTTGATATGCCTTAAGATGGCACCAAGGATAAGGTGTTCTATCACTTCCCCAGGGATGGAGGTGAGGCTGACTGGTCTATAGTTACCCGGGTCCTCCTTCTTGCCCTTTTTGAAGACTGGAGTGACATTTGCTTTCCTCCAGTCCTCAGGCACCTCTCCCGTTTCCCAAGACTTGGTAAAGATGATGGAGAGTGGTCTAGCAATGATTTCCGCCAGTTCCCTCAGCACCCGCGGGTGCATCCCATCTGGACCCATGGATTTATGGATGTCCAGATTGCTCAACTGATCTCTAACCCATTCCTCATCGACTAAGGCAAACCGCTCCGTTGACCTGACTTACCTAAGGTCTCAGGGGTATAGGGCTCTTCAGGACTGCCTGCAGCAGAGTAGACAGAGACAAAGAAGGCATTCAGTAACTCTGCCATCTCTGCATCTTCTGTCACCAGGGCACCCATCCCATTCATCAGCGGGCCTACATTGCCTCTGGTGTTAGTTTTGTCTGCCATGTATTTGAAAAAGCTCTTTTTGCTGTCCTTGACCCTTCTCGACAGGTTTAATTCTAAGGAGGCCTTAGTCCTCCTAGCTGTCTTCCTACATCCTCTAGCAGCAGCCTTATATTTCTCCCAAGTGGCCAGCCCCTGCTTCCATGACCTGTAAACTCTCCTCTTCCACTTGAGCATACCCAGCAATTCCCTATTTATCCACGCAGGTCTCTTGGCCCTCTTCCTTGACTTCCTGCATGTCGGGATGCTCTGATCTTGAGCACGGAAAAAGCAGTCCTTGAATGTCAACCAACTATCTTGGGCCCCTTTACCTTCAAGCAGCCTTGCCCATGGGATTTCCCCTAGCAATTGCTTGAAAAGGCCAAAGTTTGCCCTGCTAAAGTCCAGGGTTGCAATTCTACTTGCTATTCTACTGGTCCTACCACACAAGATCCTGAACTCCACCATCTCGTGGTCGCTGCAACCAAGGCAGCCCTCAACCCTTACTGCTTCCACCAGACCCTCCTTGTTAGTGAGGATGAGATCCAGCAGCGCTCCTCTCCTGGTCGGCTCATCCACCATTTGCAGGAGGAAGTTATCATCCATACACTGGAGGAACCTCCTGGACTGTGGCTGGGTTGCTGAGTGGTCCTTCCAGCAAACATCAGGGAAGTTAAAATCCCCCACGATGACCACAGCCTGTGACTGTGAGGCCGCTCTCAGCTGCCTGTAGAAGGCCTCGTCAACTTCCTCACCCTGATCTGGGGGTCTGTAACAGACACCCACAACAGTATCGCCCTTGCCAGCCTGCCCCTTAATTCTCACCCACAGACTCTCAACTCGCTCGTCATCTGTCCCTGGACAGAGCTCGGTGCATTGTAGTTGCTCCCGCACATAAAGAGCAACCCCACCACCCTTCCTGGCTGGCCTGTCTTTCCTGAAAAGGACATAGCCCTCCATGACTATATTCCAGTCATGTGAGCTGTCCCACCACGTCTCTGTAATTGCCACCAGATCACAGTCTCCTGACTTAACACAGGTTTCCAACTCCTCCTGTTTATTTCCCATGCTGTGCGCGTTGGTGTACAGACATTCCAGGGAGCGAGCTGAGCACACCGATTTCACCCTAGGATTATAGGTGGCCTCCCAGTCTTCATCAGTTCTGGAGTGCTGCCCCACTGGGGCAAGCCCAGCTACAACCCCATCCCCCTTCGAATCTAGTTTAAAGCTCTCCAAATGAGCCCTGCTAATTCGTGCCCCAGCATCCTTTTGCCTCTGTGAGACAAACCTTTGCCACTTGTCATTGTCCAGAGTGGTGCCCTATAAAACCAGCTGTTATCAAAGAATCCAAAGCCCTGCCTGCAGCACCAGTCTCGAAGCCAATCGTTTATGGACTGAATCTCCCCATTCCGTCCCGTATCATCAGTGGAAGATGGAAGGAGTGAGGAGAAGATCACTTGAGCCCCAGACTCTTTCAGCATCCGCCCCAAGGCCCTGTAGTCTTTCTTCATCCCCCTCAGACTGCAGGAAGCAGCTTCCCCCCACCTGTCTGGAAGACCAGCAGCGGGTAGTAGTCTGTCGAGTGCACCAGGTTGGGGAGCGCCTGAAGCCTCTGAAGCTTCCTCTCTGAAGCCCTAACATTTGGGGGGGGCATCCTGCTTTCAACCCAGTGGTTTCTCACTCACCACGCCTCCAAAACATTTCTGTATGTAGAAGTCATTGAGAGTGTGTAGCTCGAGGTAAGTGGCTCCTAGTTCCTTGGCAAGCTGAACTCCTTCAGCAGTGGTGACACAGCTCCTTCTGTCCAATGTGCACAGTGGGCAGGTACAAGGCACTCCTAGGGAAAAAAGTGGCACAAACCAACCATATTTGTCAAATAATACAGAATATTTAACTTCTTAACTGGAAAGATGCATTATTTAGAAAAGAACAAAGAGGGAAATGGAAACAGCCGTTTTATATTAAGAAATCTCTAAATATGGGGGAAAAAAAACCCAAACCCAACTTCTTATTAATTAGTTCAAAATATTACTGGTTCTGCAAAGCTCAGTGTAAATAACATTACTGTTATTTTACATTTGGTTTTGCCAAGGCTGAAAAGCCAAGCAGGACTTCCAGAAACCAGGACTGACTTAAGGCCTGTCTACCCTTCTATGCACAGGTGTTGTACTAGCCTGCTGGTGTTACCAATCACTATTGCCACCTTTAAACTTGTTCAATTACTGTGGCCTGCCCATGCAGGAAATACGTACAGTAACAGAAAGGGAAATTTTGCTGTCTCTTATGTACATACTGTGGAATATGGTTCAATTACACATCGTTTAACATAAACCTTTTTTTAATCTAAAATAGGTAGTTTTAAGATTATACCAGTTAACTGATAAAAATCTGTTAGCCACCTTAGTTCAACTTTGCTTAATGCCATGGATGCATTTTCAAATGTGCTGTGCATGCTCTTCATTAATTTCCTCTGCTCAGACCTATGGGTAACATGAAATAACAGTTTATTTGGTTTTTTCTTTTATTTCTTTTAGCAGCATGGTTTGGTACTACAGAGGATTAAGATCTTAGTACTTTGAATGAGCAACCTGCTGTGTTCACAAATACCTTCACAAATAGAAACAAAAGAGTTCTGTGTGCCCACAGCAGTTCACTCCAGCAGGTCCCAAAGCGAAATGGTAACTGGAAAGCCTGACTTCTCCCACAGTCACATTATTTTGAGAGGAAGGCAGAAAAAAATTAGTGGAAAAGTAAAATGCCAGTAGCAGAGTCATTCAGACTGGTGGTAGACTGTGCTTAAATAAAAAGTGTAATAAAAGGCGTTGGAAAGACAAACATTATTTTAGCAAGACCTTGTCTTTAGAATGGCAGTTTTACTACCCCTGTATAAAACAAAGCATAAAAACATTTGAATGTTATGAGTGAACTACTAAAGGGGACAAAATAAAGATGTAATTGTTAAGAGATCTTTAACAGTTCTTTCTCAATTGCTGAGTAAACATATATATATATTATAAGCAGACCCTGGAAAACCAAGAATTACATTCACAGACAACACATTTCATATAGCTAAATATTCATTTGTACATTAAAACAAAAGGTCTACATCTGCATCCATCATGTCTCTCATTCATAGCAGTAAAGACGCTCAGAAACACTTGTTTTAGTCAAACTCATAAAGTAGAAGACAACCAACAGGATCAAATTTTGTATTCATGGCTTAGTTAAAAAAAGAGAAATCAGGATCCACGAGTAAAAAGACCATATGAAAATCAACAAAAGAACAATGCAAACCATTTGGAAACACGGAGTAAAGTCTGCATGTTTGTTCTATTGGTATCTGTGGTACTGTTTCTGAATTTTATTTCCCTGTTGTAAACAGACAGGAGTTACTAATGTTTACCCAAACTGTGAACATATTCTCAGCAGCCTTGCCTGTGTCAGCTGCTTGTAAATCCATTTAGCCCTTACACAGTTGTGTAATGGTGATTTTCATATTGATTAAACAGAAATACAATAAAAACTTTAAATATTCAGTGTACAATTGATTTGAATTGTTCTCATAGCAGACTACTGCTCAGCCTGGACAGGGCATTGTGTGAGATCATAAGCTATGCCACAGCTATACCATATCTATACCACAGCTACTCTGCCATGAGAGGTCAACTCTGTTGATGAAGCAGCATACAGCACTTCGTGGTACCCAAAGGGTATCCATTCATCTAACAACATCCCTGAGAATTTTGAGGCTTTTCCCACTCCAGTGGTTGCAAACTGATGGACTTAATCTCATTCAATGGAAATAATTGATACCTGAGACATAACAGTAGAGAACTTGTAACCATAGGGCTCATCTCATGCACCCAAATGTATGCTGCTTCATCCAAGGGACTAGGTTTAATCTCTGTGTGTGATGTCTCCACAAGTAGACTCATTGCAGGGGTCAAAGCAGGACAGTATGCCCTTCATCACCTGGATTAAGCATAATAGTCTTTCCAATACACCAGTCTATGGAACCATAATACATGTACATAGTGCTGTCATCCTGACAAAGTGGATTTTTCCAAGTAATTGCAACTTGGAAAAACAACCGGCTTCTGCTGAAATTACAGCATAACTAAATTCCAAGTCAGATTTTAACTATTACTCCAGGAGACTGGATACATACCGTTTTTTCTTGCACCAATAGCAGAAATTATTACTGGAACTGAGCAGTGGTTTAATGTTTTTTTTATCATTGGGATGTAATTGTCCTTTAGTTCTTGAAATGAAGTCTTATCATTGACAGAGTATTTAATTACAACAATATCAGCTCCTCCAATGAGACTGCGGGAGGTATACCAGTCACTGTCAAATATATCCTAAACAGAAAAAACATTGATCAAGAATTTTCTCTCTATAAAGGAAAGGTGAAATTCATTCAGTGCTCTTAATGCAAAACCTTACAGAAGTATTTTTAACAGATAACTTCATCTCTTATTTGAAGACATGCAACAAAGAGCAGAATTCATGCTTTGTAATTTCCTTGTCTGGAGAACAAGCTGTTCATTACAATGAACAATATATCTCTCTTACGAATTCAGGAATTCTTCAGGAAGAAGAAAAAATAGGGTTTATCCAGGAATATACTTAGCAGGGAAAAAAAACAACTTTACTGTTTAATTACTTAACTTCTAAATGTTTTTATTAAGGAAATAAAAGCTGCTTCAGTGGTAGAGGTTTGCAGCAATTAATACAAAACCATTATTTACAACATTTTATTGAAAGAACTATGTCACATAGCTATGAACTTTTAATACAAGTTTCATCAATTGGGTGTGACTTTTTATCTGCCTCACAAGAGCTTCCACATAGATTTAACAAGTGTTAGTGTGTTCACTTTTAGTAGGACTGTATGCAATTAATAAGACAAAAGTTTAAGGGAATAAATGAATACAAACAAAAAAAAATAATACAGAATATTTAGTTTCTCCATGCTGGCAGACAGGAAGCATGCCTACTGCCTTACAGTTTCCTTCTAGCTGCTGTCTTCAAGCACAGCCCAAGTTTGCACATGCTCATCTCTGTGAGTAAAGCGATAACCAGCATTACCACCAGCAAAGTCTAGGGCACAGGTGCACAAATATGCAAGAACTCCACCACAAGTTCAAGCCTTAATAATAAAAAAATGTTTATAAAAACTTCTTACAGAATGTAAGATGCATTTTTTACATGTAGTCATTCGTTTGTACATGGTTTGTAGCACATTTAACAACAGAGAGAATTCTCCAGTGCATTATGACACCATTTCCTGTTACAAAACAGCAAGGTTTGGGAAAGATTTCTAAGTTAATAGAAATCTGGCTCTGTTCATATGTGTTAATAAACACATATGTTCATATGTTAATAAACACATATGTTCATATGTGTTAATATGAACACAGCCACACCCAAGGAAAGAACCAACTCTGACTCTTCTGAGTAGCTTCAGCATAAATCTAGTCCTGACTGACAGCTGAGGACAGAACCGCCAGACACCAAAGTGCCTGGGGCTGTGGCTCCATCCTGACAGCAGCCCCACCAGCAGCAGAAGAGAGGACTGATTCACATGCAGCCATGCACTCTGCTCTAGCCCCAGACCTCAGCCTGATTCTTGAAGCAGAACACTGTTCAGTGAAGTATCAGCCTGAAAATCCTTCATGCCCTAACCTGAACCAGCGGCAGCTCTAGTGCTCTTCTTCTTGGTGAGAATCTCAACAGAGTATGTTGAAGAAGACTTTTTTGTCTGCATGTGCCTGCTCATGCATATAACAAAACAGTGGCTTGAGAAGTCAATACCATATAGCAAAATAATCTGATAATAAAGGGTTTGTTACTTTTTTTCCCCTAGTGAAAATAATACTAATAAGAAAGCCATTACATCTTAGGAGGGGAAAAAAAAAAGGACAACAAAAAGAAAATATGGCCATTACCTCATACAATTTCCCTACCCTTCTTACACTTTGCCCAACTTGCTGTATTTCCATCTCTGCGGGTGTGGGGAGAACTAGCAAAATCATTACTGAAAACAGCCAAACAGATGTGCAAATACACCTCTTTGTTTAAATATTAGAGAAAATAAATCCTATGGAAACATGGCGCAGGCTACAACAGCTTCCCAGACACACATAGCTGCGTGTTGCAGCAGGTTTGTGGAGGTCTATGCTTTCAGCCACTGCCCCATGCCACAACTGCATTGTTTGTTCATCCTACCAAGAAGGATTTTAACAAAGTTTATGAAGCTCTGGTGGGGATGGACTCCACCTTCCTGGGGTACAGGCCAGCCCTGATTACATCAAGAAGTGAAAAATGCAGAATGTGCCAAACCAACATTTCATGACACCCCCTGTCGCTGTTGTGCGGTTTCCCTCTGCTCTCACATATGTGATTTAACACTCTCAAGAGCCCATTCTTTAACATGAATGTGACATTTAAAAACACAGAGGAGACCTGTTTCCAGACGCCTTGTGGTAATTATTTTTACTTCACATCAAGCATAGCATTGAGTGCTCAGATTGCTGTCCTGTGCTGGGAAAATTCTCCCAAAACATCTCTGACAGCAAAGGGTTATTTACCCAAAGCATCACTGACACAGAGCACTTGGATCCTTCTTGACTATGTCTTTAAGGGAAGCTTTCATGCAAAAGTGAAACAGGGAATTTCTTCATACAGTGAACAGCAGCTCAGATTCAGGAATAACCTTAAATCTGTCTATGAAATTCATGTAGCAGCTACTCCTCATCATGCATCCTGCTCTTGCCACGGTCCACTTCCCAAGACAGCCATTGGCAAAAGGAAAAAGTAATTACAGCTACAGTTATTATAATATGACCTTATTAATTATAGTTATACTTCTGCCTTTAAGCCTCTCAGGACTTATTTGAAAAAAAAAACTTCATTCTTTCCTTGCATGTCTCCAATATACATGTCTCACAATACATTCTTGCTGTTAGTAAGCCATACTTCTCAAGTATTAACATTGAAAATACAGCCTTCAGTTTGCCTACAAAATCGCATGACCCCCAACAGGACAATACATGCTTTGTTCAAAATAATTTATGAATGCCTTTGTGGAATTGCAGTGAAATCCTGAGCACAAGTGCCCTTGCAATGCCCACACTCTGTCTAAAAGCTGCTCGCAAATGTCCCCATGTCCACCTAGTCTCTGGGGGGGCAAGGAAGCCCCAGACCATTTACCTGGGTTTTCCCAGGATCCAAGAGAGCTGCACTGGGAATACTGAAAAGCTCGTATCTCTCAAGCACCCATTTACAGACCCGTTTGCCATTAACAGACCCATTCTCCATTACCACAGCCTTCTTTCTAGCGATGCTTTCCACACCACATACCAGAGTCTTCCCCATTTTTTTCAAGGTTTCACCGCAATTTCTAACCAGTCAGGTCCGCATCATTCCATAACTCCCCTGAATTTACTTAGCTAAGTAAGACGCAGCATAGAAGGCCCTACCTTCTTCAAAAATAAAATTCAGACCATAACCCTGGAATGCTGCTTCTGTTTTTCCACTTAAAAGCTTTCCAAAACAGCTGTAACTGGTTGAGCTGACACACATCCCCTTCACCCCCCAAGAAATAAATAAATAAAAGCTAGCATTGTCCTTTGTTATCCTCGCATAAATTTAATGACTTCATAGAAAGCAATAATAAAGAACACAGTAGGGAAAATAACTTATCAGGATATATCACTTGTATAAACTTCCAACTTCAGATGGCCAAGCTTAAAAATGAGACAGGAAGACATATTAAAAATTTAAAAGTTTCAAGCTATGGTTTTGTATTGAAGCAGTAATTAATGTTGATTTCTAAAAACAATAAATAAAATTAAAAAGTGGATCAGATTCCTTTATCTTCAAAAATAATAAGGGCCATCCAGTCTAGCCAGCACAAAGAGCGCAAGGATGCTGAGGCAGGAAAAAGCCAGGTAACTACACTGTGGATGTGCATAAGAATGCTCACAGGGTTGAAGGGCTGTAACACTCCTGTATCCTTATAGTACTGCCCCATGTAAGAGGGGAAAGAACAGGAGAGTTAACTCAGGTAGGTGAGACTCACAGTGAAGTTTTAATTCTGCCACTTATTTTCCAGCATCATAATTAAATTAATCAAAATACAAATTAGAGCTCCTGTTTCATCCTTTATTCTGTAGCTAAGAAAGATACATTTGCCACCAGATATGACAAATTTTGCCTGCACTTTTTCTTTGGTTTTTGCTTGTACATTTGCAGAAGCACAACAAAATTCAGTGTAAAGTGACGAATGCTGCAAACTACGCACGAGCCAATATAATGGCAACTGAGTCTCAAAGACTGTCAAATCTGATACAGATTGCTAAATAAAGCAACCTTTTGCAAAGGAAATCTTAAAATTCATCTTGCATTTTTACTCCTTTTAAGTTACTAGCTCCTATACTGAAGTTTATCCCCAACCCCCAAATTAGAAAATCTGGGATATGATAGTTCAATATGTTTTATGAGAGCCCAACTTGAGCATGCATTAGCAACTGGTCAGCTAATAAGATCACAATATTCACCATGGATGTTAGTACACATGTATGTTTTCCCTAGTTCTTGTATCTTCTCCCATCTTAGGTCTGCACTTTTTGTCAAAACATTTTCCAGCCATGTGAATCACAAGAACATGGGTCCTGTGCATCTGAGAGATACCAGCACACAGCTTTGCAAGAGCAGTGAAGGACACAGTGGGCCACAGTGATATACCCAGTGATTGACACACGAAGATCAGTGTAGTTTTAGGAACAGTGGCATTTTCCCCCAGATTTTGAAAGGTATGCTCTACCCCTATCTCTACGATCCTGTTTCATCTGCATGAATAACACCCTCCCTAAATTCAGCACTTCCATCCTGCACCCAGCAACTGCCATGAGAAAGAGTTTTCACAACATGCTGATGCTGTTTTACACGTTGGCAAATATGATTTTATCGGTGTCATTTCCAAGCCAAGCAATAACAAAGAATATAGTAACTGCACAGGCAGTTAAAATATTTATGGAGATATGAAAGCAGCAGTCTCACAGCAGGCTGGAAACACCATTCCCCTGTGTCTGTCTGTAACACTTGATGGGCATTGCCTTGGGTAGTCATGCCCAAGAAGCTTTGCTTCCTAGCTCTGCAGTTTGGCAGCCACCTTCATTCACCTTCAGCTTATAAAATACCACACTCCCATGGCAGCACTGCTGCTCTCTACCGGTCATGTGCCCAAAAGGACAATCTCACCACAGCAGGGTTGACCATATGGTCCAGACCCTCCAAGTTTCCAAAAACCATTAGTACACTGGCACTGAAGGCTGTTGGAAAACTTTAATGCAGGCATCTGAGATACACAGTACATAGTAAGATATCCTATAACATAATAAATCAGGAATACCAGGAAGACACCTGAGCTGTTGACCTGTCCTTCAGACTCACAAAGCTGAGCAGTGTCCTAGCTTGGAGAAACATGGAGCAGAGGACTGAAGCATGAGCAAATCCACCCTGTACCACATTTTGTCTTACTGAAGGGTCCCTCCTTGCACTGGGGATCTCTACTTGATAGACTTGCATCCATGCTGCTTTTCCAGACTGAGCTGTAGAGGACAACAACAGCTGAGCACCCTTGAGTTTGGAGATTCAAAGCTACCAGTGTGCTCATTACCAAGTTTATGTCTAGGACTGGCTTGCCTTAATCATGTGAATTTAATCTGGATGAGATACAAATCTCATTTAAACGCAAATCTGCCTTTATGTTACACTCACATGATATAGGTGGAAATAATGCAAGGCCCACCATACCACCACCTCTATGTTTCAGTAACTTGCAGCAAGAATCCTTTTCTATGAAGAAAAGTCAATTACTTGAGGCAGTGTCAACTAACACTCTGAAATTCTTGCACCATCTCCCCAGGCTACCAGATGAACAGTCCTGAAAGGACAACCCTGACATAACAAACCTCAAACATCCAGACTCTGGAAAACAATCCTGTTCCACCTAACCACAGCAAGAAGGCAGCTTCACTCAGAATGAATAATGTCCTCTACTCCATGTACCTGAGAAGTCTTCTACTAAGTAAAACATGCCAATTATTCCTCATCATTCCCAGTAACCTCCTGCCCTCCTTTAGCTGAGAGAAGAAAAGCACAAGAGGCCTCAGAAACATATACGAGGCCTCAGACAATACCAAGCTAGCTGTTCAAGGGCAAAAATGGTAAGTTCTCCAGAACTAAAGAACCCTGTTTTGTAGAAGAGCAAATGCAAATGTAAAAACATGAAAACACATGAACTGTGTCTCCACTGCAGGTTCCTTCTTCCCCTTCTCCAGCTATCCCTGCTCGCCTTCTCACCCTCCAATCCTCTGAAACACTCTGTTGAAGTCATACTGCCTTAATTTATTCAGGAGCTTTAACTCATTGCTGTGCTCCAATGACTTCAGCAAACTGCATGGGCAGGTCACATGTAGCTTCAAAGACTAAACCCAGGATCCCTCAGTCCATCTGAACCAGTGTCAGGAAAGTGCAGCTGACAAAAAAGCGTGCGAAGCACAGAGCAGAAGGGTAGCTATTGAGTTTTAAGATTACAAACTGTATGTATTTCTGGAACTATTGTGATTCTTGGAGATCCCCGAAACAGTTTCCCTTGCAGGACAGCAAAAATCAAACTTAAGGATAGAATTATGGAGCTGAAACTTATTATTGTTGTAATTTCTAAAAGCTGCTAAGCTGTATTTTCTTTAAGGCTACTAAGTAGTCATTAAATATGTTTTAATTCAGATTACCAGTATCATTTCTTACACATTGATCTGCTCATATTCATAACTAATGTCTCCTACTTACTAATGAACATGCTAACAACTTGGAACAGTGCCAAAATCCATTTTATTTACCTTCAAATAAAGGAAATAATGTTAAAATGTTATTTTTTTTTTCATAACAGAAGTAAAATGACTCCATACGCAGTTTTTTACAAGATACCAAGTCTTCTAATATGTTATTTTTCAAAGCCAGAAAACTAACTGCCTTTTCATTTTTAGAGAAAAAAATATATATATGTTTTGTTTTATTGTTTATCAGTGTTTGAAGGGAGTTCTTGTGATGAAGTGTCACAAAAAGGAGGTTCTTGTTTGCCTCCGGATTATCTTCAATAAAGTTTTCACTCAATAGCACAGCTGAAAATACCACCTTCCTGCAGAGGAGGTGGGCAGCAGCTTGTTAATGAGAAACCTTCTGCAGCACCTATGACTTTGCATCATTTGCTGGCTTATGCTTTATGTGCTTTTGTTATTTGGAATAATTACAATGTGAATAAAATCTGTCAATAAAAAAAGAAAAATTAAGATATATTTTCATCCTATTAAAACAGCTTACAGTTAACTCCAGTTGAAAAGACAGAGACTGATCTCTTACCCAGACAGGACAGTCGCGTACCACCAGTCTGACATTTCCAAACACAGAGGCTTGGTACTCAGTAAAAGCTGGGTTTCCAACGTGACTGGCAGACAAGCTGCAGTCAATCTCAGAAATGAGAGCACTTCTCCTGAGATAGCTCCATATCAGGCTTGGCTGCTGATTGTCCTCAGAAGGCCCATCTGTTTCATTCCCAAAGGCTGCAATATTAACCGACCTAAAATAAGGACAAAGCTGCATTAGCAAACACAAAGCGCACGGATGAAAAAAACCAAACCCTTAAGTCAAAACTAACAGATCAATCCTTCAGAATCCTCTTCCCTCCTTAGATTTTAACACCCCCCCACACCCCCTCCCCTTCCTCCGTAATCAACAGCAAAACACATACATGATCTCAACTCCAACAGCAGCATGAGAGCAAAGCAGAAAAGAAACCTGGAAATGCTGCTTACATTACAGATCCCCAGCTGGCTTGGATTTGTATTTGTTGGCGTCCACGCTCAGCCTCGCTGCTGTGACTCCAAAGCTCTTGCTGTGTTCCCTCGCCTGCAACCAGCCGGGCTAACTTAGCGCCTGCGGTGCGCAGCGAGGGGCTCCAGCCGCACGCCAGATGCGCGGCGGCAGCAGCAGCGGGAGCAGCAGCGGCAGCAGCAGCAGTATGAGCAGCCCAGGCAGCAGTGGCTGTGTCGCCCAGCAGCTGTGGGGAAACCCGAAGCCTAAGTGCGACCGTCCAGCCGGGCAGACACGGCCATCACATCATTACGTCAGTAAGCAGGAGCGCAGCGCACGCGACGGGCAGAGCAAGCTGACGTTGCTGAAGAGCCAACGCTGAGCAGCTGGGTCAGCAGAGGCAAACAGAGGCGCTCAGTGGTAAGGCAGTGCTTGCCTTCCAGGCTCCTGCAGGAGAAGGACCAACATCATGACACTGAGTCGCTGCCACAGCTCCTCTGTGCTATTAGGAGAGACCAGCACCGAGGGACTGTCACAGTGGAAGAAGAAAGCAGTGTAAAGACCCTCAGTTAAAGTATTTAAACTTCTTGTTGTCAAATAACATCTATCTTTTCAAAATCAGGTTGACAATTTCTGAAATGCCATGTGGATTTTTTAGCATACACATGATGTTTAAAGCACTGTTTTCAAAATGGACACTCTGTAATTAAAATGAACACAAATACCTGAGACCAAATCCATCCTACAATGGCATGTTCTCTGTCAGAAAATACTTGCACATTAGAGTAAAAAAACCCAACAAAACAGAGTAAAAATATTTTAGGTATCCTAAATGATAAGTAAACGCTCCCTATTATGTGAACACATGGTGCTGTTAATCCCCCAGGCAAGAACTCAAGCAACACCGGTCTTAATATGATTGTCAACAGAGTAATTAACAGACCTTTTCCTGCAAGAGTCCATACTCTGAGAAAGATACTATTCCAAAATGGAAAAATGTGGGAGGTGACAACTGATGCAACCGCCAAAGTTTTATGCCAAGAGTGTATTGACTGGCTGAGCCATTTTTAGAAATCATAAACATTAATACATATTTTATGCTAATGATCTCAAATAGCATTTATATTTTTTATTACAAATTTTACAGGGCCTACTGAAAAAAAATCCAGCCAAACATAAAGCAAACCAAACAAACAGATAATTTACCAACAGTTTTGTTTCCCTGTTTTTTATCACATGCCAGCTTCTTCTGCTTTTCAATCTAGCTTTCCTTAGAAAGCTAAGATGACAGGTAGAGGTTTTCTTTCTGTTTCCCTCCTAGAAAAAGAAGTTTGAATATTTAAATTCAAACTTGTAGTGGTTTAGCTGTTGAAAATGAGGAAACCTTTGAGAGAAATGTTCTTTACAATACTAGTGTAGCTAAATAAGCAAATAAATATACACACACATATACACATACATATGTTTACATACTTGGATTGGAACTAGGTGATCTGCAAGGTCTCTTCCAACACAACCATTCTGATTCTGTGATACGTATACACATGCAATCTTGCACACAACACACAGAAAATACAGGCTGGTAAATAAGGCAGCCGTAGTGAGAAGTGACCCAATTAACACAATTAGCATAGCTCCAATTAGCATAGCTTAGTCTTTGCTGTGGACCTAGTTCTGCCCAAGTGTATGAGGCAGAGATGGAGGGTGGCAGAAAACACTGGCTTTCATTTCACTCCTTCCTTGAACCACCTGGGAAACTAATTAGAACTGCTGGAAACATGAACCTTGGCAAATTATGCAGATGGTGAATGTGGCACTCATCTCACCTTGCGAACAGCACCTAAAGGTAACAGACTGAAACACCACAGTGTTTTAGTAACTTTAGCAATCAAATTCGAAACAACATGTAAAAGGTAAGCACTAAAACTGGATGAAAGTGCCATCTGTTCTTCTGTGGAAGTAGGTCTATAACCCCATTTCTCTCTGCATTGCTGAGGGACTGTGTAATACATTTCAAACAAACAAGCAAAAAGTAGAAAAGAAAATGAGTTTATTTTTGCAGGGTGATAAACCTCAGGAACAGAGAAGTTTCTTGGCACCCCTATCTAGATGCATTCTGCAAGTTACATGGGCACTTAAAGGGAAAGCCATAAAGATCCATTTAAAGGAGAGATGAAGATTATAGAGGATTGCTTGGCACCCCTCTTTGGCAAACTGGAAGTCAAATATCCTGTATCAACAAACTTTTCAGCCATCAGGCAGTTCCCATTGCTGCTGACATACAAAGACAAAACAGCAGTAAAGGGAGTCTTTAACAGCGTTCAGAAAAAAAAAGGCATACTTAGCCTCACACATTTTACACTGTGACATTATTATTTTGTTTCAAGTTATCTCTATGGAAGCTTTCTAGCTAGTATCTCAGATAAGCAATGAAAACAAATATGCAGTCTTTGCTGACAAAAGGGTAATGACATTTTTCATGGCAAAGAAATAACTGCAGCCAAGTCCAGGAGGAAGGTTTTTTTAGACTTGTGGAAGCTGTAGCCTTACTTGCACTGATTCACATGTGACTAACTGGCCCGTATTTTCAGGACAGTGTGGGAGTTCAATGCACTTGGATTCAAAGCTGTTGCCAAGCACACTCATTAGCTGACTCTGCATGTGGCACAGAGCTGCTGCTGATGTGATGAACAAGTTTAGGTGCATGAGAAACTCACTGCTTCTGATGTGACTACATCCTGTCCTTCATTGTTCTTCCTTTTCTTACACCAGCTTTCAGCCCAAAACCCAACTTCTCATCCCATCTTGCGGCAACTTAGGTTCTTTACAAACTTTAATCAGCTTTGCAAAAAGCTTCTCAAAGGCTTTTTGAAAATGCAAGAGGATTATTATGCCCACAGGACCCCCTTTATCGGCATACTTACCGCCCTTCCTCCAAATGTCGATTATGCCAGACTTCACTGGAACCTCTCCACCACCTTCACAACTGATTGTGTTCTCCATACGTCCCTTGATTTCAGTTTCTATCACAGACTGTATGATCTCACGAGGAATGGCAGCCAGTCCTATCATTTTGGCATTCCTCTGGCCCCACTAAAGCATTTTTTGAACGTATTGGTAGCCTCCGATGGCTGGGTCACTCAACCTCCAGTGATAGAGGTTTCTGATACGAGTTTCTGAGGAACTCTCTTGTAAATGTTATCTACTCCTGACCACTTATTCACATCTACTGTAACAGTTTTTTATTTACTTTCAGGTCAAGTAATGTAATATCAGCCCAATATTGAATCAAAAATATGAAGGAGGTGGAAAATGATCTGATGGGAGGAGAAGAAGAAAGACAAATGACACTTCTAATATTTAAAGCACTGCTTAAGTGGTTTATTATGTGGCTTATTAGTATGCTTACATTTCAGTGTTTGTAGCAGAACAGAGCTATGGAAGCAAAAACTGAATTGTGGAAAGCCCCTAATACTGTGAGGGTGAGCCACAGATTACCAGAAACCAGCTCTGTTGCTGCAGAAGTCCAGCACAAGGGCTGCCCTCCAGGCCTGCTGCCCTCAGCAGTGAAGACAACAAGGTCCTGTATATCAAAAGGGCTCCATCTGGTGCTTACATGCTTCAACCTGCTGCAGAAATGAAGGATTAAAAATTCAACATGCTGCAGAATACACCCTGTTCACACTGGCAAGAATCCCCATCTGTGGTTGTACAGCTGCACCTTGTAATTCTCATGTCATTGTTTAACAAGTGTTGTTAGTTTCACTAGAACACAAGCCAAAGGATTAAAAAAAACAACCAAAAACAAGCTATCACCCTGAGGTGGATGCGGACCATTATGTCATGCAGAGGAGCACCATCCCCACCCCAGCCTGCCCCGGTTCTCCATACCAAGGCTTGTTGGCTTGGCCTGTGGCTGAAGCTGAGCTGCAGGAGAGGTGGGCATGCAGCAAGCACCAAGGGGAATGGTGTAGGGGCAGGTGCTCCCACCAGAGAGCAGGGAAAGGTCTCTCCTGAGGTGGCATGGCCAGACATATGACCAAACCACCCTGCAGGTCTCTGTTTGCCTGGGTATCTCCTTCCACAATGTATTTGGAGAGGTGTGGGCCTGCCTGGGCAAGAGATGCTCCTGTAGCTTGGTGTAGGGGAGGGATGGCATATGCTCAGCATGTTTTGAAAGTTCTGGGCTATTTTAATCCACTTTATGATCCCCTGGATAAGTGCTTAAGACTGAGTGACCCAGTGCATCAATTCTACAGGGAGAAATGCCTCAAACTACTTAATGGGGTCCTGCAGAAGCTCTGACCTTTGCCTGCCCAAAGTTCTGTTCCGTAATGTATACAGTTTCTAACTTTTCTTTACTAAAAATATATTGCAAGAGTGTGGGTAGCATTCATTACAACAGGTAAATGAAAACAATCTAATAATGTTGGTTAAACATGCGATTTAATATGCATTTTAAGAAGAGAAAATTAAAGAACGAAGATTATACCCAGAGATACAAACGTCTACCATATCCTATATGGATATAAACAACAGTTACTCACCTATCAAATTTGTAAGTTCTCAGCAAGTCATAAATGACACATCATCAGGAGTAAGTTTCCTGCTTAAAATTACATTCTAACCCTTTTTATACAACTGCAGCTCTCCAGAATTAAAAGATAGAGCACATTGTTCATCAGGTCCTTATACAGATGTCAAACATCTTCCAAGTGGCCACTGGATGGCCATGATCATATTTTAAAATACGATTTCGGTTTCCAAATATCCAAAGTTCCATTTCAGTGCTAGACTTTAAATTGGCTGTTTGTTTTTTACTATTTATTTTCCTGATTTCCACTTTCTTATTTTCCCTTCTGTTATGATTTCACTGCTATTTAATACTCGTTCTAGCTCCCAACCTCCTTTGCTGTCCACATACCTGTAACTACAGGGAGGTATATCAAAGCAGCAAGAGAGAATGATCTGTGTGTGGTAACTGAATGTTTTTATGGATTTGAATATTGTCCTTCCTGCTTTCAGCATAACAGAAAATCACTTGATTTTACTCTCACAGTCTCTTGCATTCCCCTGCACTCTGACATTTCTCATACCAGAACAGAAGCCCACTCTCAGGCTGCTCAGGAGCCTTTCCTGGGCGACAAATGTGCATGCGATGTAAGAAA